TCCGCCCTTTCCCGGCCCCGCGGCCGCCGCTTTCCCCCCCGCGCCCGGCCACGCGCTGTGCCCAGCCGCCCTGCAGCCGGGCTCTGGCGGCCTCGCCAACCTGGGCAGCAGCGGCAGCTCCAGCGGAGCCGCCAGTGAGGGCGGCCACTCCAGCGACAGCGGAGACGAGGTGAGCTCTCCCCCGCCCCGAACCCCGCGCGGACGACTTCGCCGGGATGCGGCCGCCGCTCTCCCCGACGGCTGATCCGCTCCCGCCGACGCTGCCCGACCCTGAGAACGTCGCGTGTCGGTCCCGCCGCGGCCGTCCGACTCTGCGCGGGGCCGCGGTGAGCGCTGCTCGCGATGGGGTCGGGCTGCTCCCGGTTTCCCGGCCGTCGGGGCCCCGCGGCTGCGGCTCGGGCAGCGCTTCCTCGCCCCAGCGACGTTCGCTCGCGCGGCGCGGCTGCCTCCGACGTCGAGGCGCGCGCGTGTGCAGCTTTGCGGTCTGCGGGACTTCTGAGGTTTTTAACGTTCGGAGGAAAGGAGAACTATAAAGGCTCCGGGTGGCCGTGCGACATGCCCGGCTGCAGCCCTCGAGGCTGCGGTGGGAGTCCCCGTGCCTGTACTCTTGAGAAGATCCCAAGGGGCCCTTCGTCCGCTGTGCCCGCAGCGTAGCGGGACATTTCTCTGCCGTGGAGGCAGGGAGATCTTCGGATGTCTCGGAGCGTTCGGCCCCTGCGGACTGTGGGTCCCGTCGGACCGCGCTCTGCGCTCTGCCCCGCTCCGCCTCCGAGCATCGCACTGGGGACGGACACCGCGTGCGTCCCCATGGGCGGCACCCACGGGTGGCTGACCGGCAGTTGTGCTTTGGGGGTTTTGAAGTTTTTTCTCGGCGTCGCGTAGAAGCGTCCATCCCAGGTAGATGGGCGCCGGGGTCAGCAGCGGCGGGGTTGGATGGCGATCGTTTCAAAGTTTCTGCGTGTTTTCTCTGCGTGGGCCGGCCGCTTTTGTGTGAGCAGCCGCAGCACGGCAGGGCTCCCGAGCCCGGTGGAAAGAGCCGGGGATGCTCCTGGCTCCCCGGGGTCGGCGAACGCGAGCGGTTAAGGCTGACGCTTGCCGGCAGGAGGCATGTATGTAAAAGCCAAAAACCTGCTGCGAATGTGTAACTGGGTAAAAGGGTTGCGAAATGCCCACGGCAGCACTTGAGGCTGTAGCGGTGGCAGGAAGCCGATGCGCTCGGGAGAGCGGCCGTCCCGAAGTGCAGATCCTGGCTGGGGGAGCCTCGCGAACCACGCGGCTGTCCTCACCCGCGGTATCTCGGGCCACTCACCGTGTGTCTGCTTCTGCCCCTGACAGGATGCGCCGACCTCAGAGGAACTGGAACAGTTTGCCAAGGACCTCAAGCACAAGCGCATCATGCTGGGCTTCACACAGGCTGACGTGGGGCTGGCTCTGGGCACGCTCTATGGTAAGAGGGGAACCCAGTGACCCAACTGAGAGAGCACCGTGCTGGAACCGGGTCCCCGAGGAAGGGGATCCTGGGGGCTGCGGGCTCAGCGCTGCTCCCGGGGGGGGGGCACAGGTCGGGGACCACGGTTTGGGGGAGCTGTGCGTGATGTGTGACCTCCCCGTGCAGGGAAGATGTTCAGCCAAACCACCATCTGCCGCTTCGAAGCTCTCCAGCTCAGCTTTAAGAACATGTGCAAGCTGAAGCCGCTGCTGCAGCGTTGGCTCAACGAGGCAGAGAACACGGACAACATGCAGGAGGTACAAGGCAGAAAATGCATCTGTCTCCCCTATGTCTGCAGGGTTCAGTGGTGGGGTGCTGGGAGTGGGGTTGGCTGCAGGGAGTGAAGCAGCACTCTGAGCTTTTACTGCATCTCTGAGGCTGTGCTGGCACAATTACAGGGAGAAAGCCTTTCCCTCGCAGAGCCCTGCAGCCAGCTGTGCCTGTCTGTGTGGGGGAACATGGACAGCCCTGGGTCACCCTGTGACCAAGTGTGGGGTCTCTTACTTCCAGATGTGCAATGCAGAGCAAGTGCTGGCCCAAGCCCGGAAGAGAAAACGTAGGACCAGCATTGAGACCAACGTGAAGGGAACACTGGAGAGCTTCTTCCGCAAATGCGTGAAGCCCAGTCCTCAGGAGATCTCCCAGATTGCCGAGGACCTCAACCTGGACAAAGACGTAGGTTTGGCAGGGCGGGGAGGGCGAGGGGGGTCCCACACAGCTTCAGCTCCTGGGCGCCCTGTGGGGCCGGTTTGGTGCCAGGAGGTGGGAGGGTGGCTGCGCTAGGCGCCCACCAGGCACTCACTGCGCAGTGCCGCAGAGCCCCACTCATCCTTGCCCCTCCTCCCATCTCCCCTCCCTCACAGGTTGTCCGGGTCTGGTTCTGCAACCGGCGTCAGAAAGGCAAGCGGCTGCTGCTGCCCTTTGGCAACGAGTCAGAGGGCGTGATGTACGACATGAACCAGTCCCTGGTGCCGCCTGGTCTGCCCATCCCAGTGACATCCCAGGGCTACAGCCTGGCACCGTCCCCCCCCGTCTACATGCCACCTTTCCACAAGGCTGAGATGTTCCCCCCGCCTCTGCAGCCCGGGATCTCCATGAACAACAGCAGCCACTGAACAGCAGCGGGGGGCAGGCAGCAGTGCACGCATCCAGAGGCAGCGTCCCCCCCCCAGCCCTTCCCCGCCATGTGAGCGCTGTCCCAGCAGCGGCCCTGTGTGGGGTCAGCCCCTCCTGGCTCCCCCCTCCCTGTTACCTGCCTGGGGCCAGGGGGAGCCGCCTGTGCCAGGCCCCAGCCGAGCTCCTCTCCTGCGAGAACCAGAAAAAAGCATTTCTTAAATTGTTTTGGGGGTTGGGGGAGGGGGATTTGTTGTTTCTGGTTTTGGTATTTTTTTTAATGGTTTTGATTGTATTTCTAGTTTTTGAAAGGTGAAAATATCTTTGTAGTGATGGCTAGTTTCCCAGCTGCCTCCTCCCTGCCGTGTAGAGCAGGGCTGGGGTGCTGCGGGGCGGGGGGCTCCTGCAGGCTCTGCGCCTGTCCGGGCAGCCGGGGGGAGCCGAGGGCCGTGATGGTGCTGGGGGAGCCCGGCAGTCCCCACCCCCCTGCCCACAGCACAGGAGGAGGGGTTGTGTTGCACCCGCTGTGGGCAGAGTAGGGGGCAGGGAAGGCTGTGAGCCCACAGTGTCACCATGGAGCCAGTGGGGCTGACACCATCCTGTCCATGCTGCTAGCACCCCGTGCCTTTGAGCCTGCTGTAGTTGACGATTTATTTTTTTTTTCCTTTAATCATATTCCCTCTGGCAATTAAATAAATCTCAGTGTTTTGGGGCACGAGAGCTAGTCAGCCCCTTCCTTTCTTTGCCTTTCTTTGCCAGGCCAGTCCAGCTCTGTGTGGTGTGGGTGGGCTGATGTCTGTGTCCTGGCAGGAGCTCTGCAGAACGGCAGCATTCCAGATTGCAGCAGAGCTGCTGCTTCGTGCTGCCCCAGGCTGCTTGGGTCAGTGGGTGCTGGCCCTGGGGCTGCCCTGTGCTGTGGGACCAATAACCCGTGCACAGCTCCAGGGCTGGGTTGCAGATCAGTGGGAGCACACCGTCTTTTCCTCTGCAAAAGCAGACATGTTAAGGAATATGTGTGTGTATGGAGTGGGAGGGGGTTACTTTCCACGCCTACAGGGCTGCTGTTTTTTCTGTAGCTGCTCTTAGGAAAGGTGGAAACTCAGCCTGGTGAGGGACATTGGTGCTGGTGTGCAAGTGGTGCCCAAACCAGGAGCGGGACACTGCCAGGGGCTGATACCTCAAGCAATGAAGTGACCAGAGCTCCGAAACTTCTGAAAAGCCCCTTATTTAGTTCAGTTGGTGCAAGTAAACGATGCTCTTTGCCCTTTGGAGCTAGTTTATACCCTTGCTCCTTTGTGCTGTGCAGCACAGTTGGTGCAGGCTGCTGCTTGGGGTACCTGGGGATTCTGAAAAGGGGAGCAGTGGAAGCCCAGGCTGCATGCCAGCCCCACAGGGCAGCACCCCGTTGGCTCACCCTTGTAGGTAAAGAACTGAGGGGATGCACGGTGAGGGCCGGGGGATGCACAAAGCAAGACAGGGACAGATCAGGATTATCGCAGCCCTGTCGTGCCATCACCCAGTCTCAACATCTGCTGCTGGACCCAGACAGGGGCTTCTTGATGTGTGCGGAGGCTGCCTGGGGTGCGGGTTGGCCACAGAGCAGGCTCAGGGTGCAGGCATAGGAGCAGGCAGTGCCAAGTGGGTGAGTGAGTGAGAAACCACAGCCATTCTGCCCTGAGTCGCCTTGCACTGAGCAGGCTGTGATTGCTCTCAAGAGCATCCTGCTGGCACTGTGACATCTGTGGTGAGAGCGGGGTGGGAGAAATGGGTGCTGCAAGGCTGTGCTAGTGCAGAATTTGGGGCACAGTAACAAGGTCCCCTCCTTGGCTGCAGGGTGCTGGGCCCCCAGCAGGATGTGGCTTCTCTCCTCGAGGTACAGGAGGGGTTGGCTCCCCCACCAAGCCAGAAATGCCACTGCAGAGGGAGCTTCTGCCACTGTGGAGTCATTGCTCAGATAGTGGGGGGAGCACAGAGCAATAGTAGGGCATAGGGGAAAGGGGAGGCTGGGGGCTCCTAGTGCCCCTGGCTGCCCTCAGCCCTGCCCAGGCCTCGAGAGATGAGCAGAGCCCCAGGAAATCTGTGCTGTTTATTTCCAAAGCACCCTGTTGTTGCACGGTGGGGGAGGTCAGCATGGGCTGGTCGTGGTGTGCGGGAAGTTCTGTCACATGGCATTGCACAAGGTCACAGTGTGGCAACAGTGGGGCCAGGATGAGGTCCCACGTCCTCCCTCCCTGACATCCTGTTCTCAAGGACCACTCTGCCACCCCAACGCACCCCTGATGTCTCTGGCAGTGCCAGCCCTGCGCTAGGTGTTGAACCAGCTCTGCAGGTTGGGATAGAGGCGGCCCTGGGACAGGTGGGGGTGCACGGCACAGATGGTGCAGATGCGCTCCCTCCAATCTGCATAGAGCTTCACGCTGTACCTCTTCTGCCACGCAAAGAACTGCTGGTAGCGACTGGAGTTCATGGTCTTCAGGAAGGTGGCCAAATCCTCCAGGGAACCGAAGTCGTCGACGTGGATGAATGAGTCTGCAGGGATGAACTGCTCGTAGTTGGCCCGGGGGGGGCCCAGCACCACCGGCACGGTGCCAGCCAGCAGAGAGTTCCTCCAGAGCTTCTCAGTGATGTAGTCCTGGTGGATGGAGTTCTCAAAGGCCAGGTAGAACTTGGATTTGGATGTCGTGGGCAAAAGGCAGTCCTTGCAAAGCGGCTTCTTGGCTGCTTTCCCATAGAGGTTCACGTGGAGATACCTGGACAGGTTCTTATAGACTTCAGCTCTCTTCTGAGTCCTGTGATAGTTGCTGATAACCCAGGACACCAAGTTGGTCTTTGTGGGGATGCTCACAGTGGCTGACCGGTTGGGCACCAGCTTGCCATAGGGCATGAAGATGTCCGAGTCCCGCCTGTAGGTCATCACCCAGTTGAAGGTCTGGTTCCATCCTGCTAACGCTCTCGTGTTGGTGGGGGACTCCAGGGACACCCAGACCCAGCCCTGCCCATGCGGTCTGTCCCGGGGCAGCTTGTCCCGGCCCCGCGGGAGGGTGGTGTGAAGGAACACCACCACGTCAGCCTGGCTCAGGAGCCGCCGCTCCGTGCTGAGCCGGCAGCCCGCGATGCCGTACTGCTCACGGCAGACATCCCTGCTGAGGTCTGGGACCTGCCTCGAGGGCCATTCCCACACCAGGACCGTCAGCGCCTTCGTGTGCTTGAGGGCTTTGTCAGAGCTGTTGGGTGAGCGGATGAAGCACTTCAGGTTCCAGAGCACGGTGACCAACAGCCCTGCAGTTATGGCTGCCTTCACACTGGGCCGGCCCCACAACCACCGCAGCAGCAGTGCCCTGGACATGGTGCCTGCGGTCTGCTGGCAGCTCCCTGGACAGAGAAGAGGCCCGTGAGGGCCATCAGCTGAACCACCCAGCAGGGGGACACAGGGCAGAGGGTTGGTGGGGTTGGAGGAGGACTTCTCTGTGCTTCCTCCACCCAAACCCTATGGGGTTCAAGCGTAGCAGAGCGCATTGGGAACCCGGTGACACTGACCCCTGTGTGCCCACAGCACCTGCACCAGGGAAAAGTCCCACATGCAAAAGATCAAAAGGCTATGCCCAAGTCTACCTGGCAGGGCATGAAGAACAGGAGCCATCCTGTCCCCATCACTGCCCACAGCACCCCAGCACTGTCACATCACTCCCACATGCCCCTCCAGTGCCCCCATCTCTGGAGCGAGCAGTGATCTACCGAAGGGCACACAGAGCAGCATCCACCTGTGCTCTGGTCACAGCTGATGTGCACCACTCTCAGTGACACACACAAGGCATGTTTGCCTTGCCACTTGCCTCCCACCTCAATTTCCCCATCTGATGAATGGACACAGCCCCTCTCCACACTTCTCGTTTTGCCTGGGGGGAGTTGAGATTGGGATGCAGCCAGGTTTGCTGCAGCAGAGCCCAAGAGGAATGTGGTGTTCTTCCTGGGGGCTGCAGGATGGAGATATGCACCAGGGATGAGGGGGTGATCTGGGTCCTGCCCCACTGCTGGGGGCAGGGAGCTGCAGGAAATGCCCATACTCCATGGCAAAGCCCCAGCTGTGAGCACACAGACAGATTTGCCCTCAAGACGTTCCTGGGAGCAACTGGCAAGTCCCAAACCTCAAGGCCAGAGTGCAGTGTCCTGTTCAAAACTTGTCCTCCTCACCCCGCACCCTCGTGCAGCAAAGGCAGTGCTCTTGCTGGCCTCAGTGTGTCTCCCCAGACCCCAAGCCATCCAGGCTGAGAGCTTGCCAAGGGCGCCTCAACGCCCATCCTTTATTTCCAGTGTGTCCCAGGTCCCTAGCCAGCAGGGCAGTGGGGGCTGCAGGCAGAGGGCCCTTCAGCTCCATAGGGCTGCAGCAGAGCTCAGCCCACAGGCGCAGGCCAGGGGTGGCTGCGGGGCTGTGAGGGGATTGCTCAAAACCCCCCCGAGTGTCAGTCCCAGGTGCTGTACAGCAGGACTCCCTGGTTTTGCTGTGTCAGGTTGATGCTGGGTGGCAGGCCATGCGGCAAGCTGCAGAGCAGTTCCCCAGTTCTGCTCCCCCACAGTTCGGCAGCCTGCACTTCTGCTTGTGCTGCAGCCACATTCCTGGCAGGGCTCGGAGCCTGCAGGCTGCCTGCTGCATTCAGCACAAAGACCGTTTCCTTTCTGGGGAGCCCCCCCCCTCAAAGCCCACTGGATGCCTCTGACCCGCTGCTAGCCAGGGGTGCTGGCCCCTCTAATTTCAGAGGGCTGAGGAAGAGGTTGCTCCACTTTCTCAGCTGAGCTGCAGCAGCTTTGCTTTTGAAAATCCCTTCCCTGCTTTGGCCTGCTCGGTCTGTCATGCTAAAATACACGAGCTAAGTTTAGGCTTCAGAAGAAAATCATCATCCGCAGAAGGGAGGGCTGGGAAAGCTCTGCATGCTCTGCACACTGCGTGCAGGGCATGGCCCCCCACCTGCCTGTCCCCGCAGAGGGGACACTGCCCCGCTTTGGAGGGATGCTCTGGGGGCCTGCTGCCAGGCTGGCAGTGCCACAAGTCAATGCACTGCTCAGCCCCAAGCCCGGTGCATGGCAGTGCTCGCGCGTGGGCTCACTTACCAGGGAAGGGACCGTGGCACAGCGCGGCACGGCGCAGCCAGGGAAGGTGACGGCTGTCTGGGTGCCACGGGCAGCTGCTGGCTCTGGCCTGAAGTACTCGAGGGCTTCCTCTTTTCTGTGGTTTTGCTGGTTTTGCTGTGCAACTGCCTCTCACAGGGATCCTTCCTGGTATCAGAACTCTCTGAGCACTTCCCCCCATGCAGAACGGGTGGCAGTGTCAACCTTGGATGGGTGCATGCCCATGGCCAGATGTGTGCCTGTGCCAGATGGGATCCTGCTGCCCCATGCAGTGTGCTGGCAGCCCAGCGGACACCACCCTCCCAGCTCCCTGTGCTGGATGTCCTGCCAACCACCCTCCCGCTTCCTCTCTTCTCCTTGGCATGGCTGTGGCTCTGGGGGATCTTTGCAGAAGAGGCATTTGACCCTTTGTAGGGTTTCATTCTGCAAAGTGGTTTCTGATGAGTCAGCTTTGAAACTAAGAACAAAGAATACCTCCCTTCTGTTGAGCACCTTTCCCATCCCTGCTGCTATCCAGACCCACAATTAGCTGCAGCTTTCCCTTATACTGCCCCTGTTTTGGGGTTTGCACAGTGTCCCCATGTCCTTGCACCAAGGTGCTCTCACAAGCAGACAGGGATGAGGTCCATGCCTACAGTCTGAAGTCTCCAGCTCTCCTACCCTTTGCATGCCTTCTACTCCCACCCCACAGCAGGGGACAGGGAGGGGGCATAGGGTGACACTGGGGAAGTGACAGCAGGGACACACACTCAGCCTGGTCTGAGAAAACAGCAAGATGCTCCTTCGGCTTGGACTGAAACCTGCTGCAGCATTTGTGTTCGCTTCAGCCCACTGCAGAGCTGAGAGGGGCACAAGGGAGCCCAGCTCTCATCCTGGCACTGCCAGCAGGACCACCTGGCCCTGCTTAGGCTGGGGGCGACGCGTCCTGGCGAGCACTGGAAGGAGCCCTGGTGGGCATCCTGGGTCTGCGCCTGTGTTGAGACGGATGTGGCCCAGCCCTCAGCCACCCTGCGTGCCACCCTGCAGTTGGGTTGAAAACAGGATGCCAGCCTGATTTTGGCTCACACTGACTCATCTTGAAACTGTCAGCTAAAGTGGCACCAGCAGCTCCTCTCTGCTCCCAGGCATGGCAGCTGAGGACAAAAGGGAAAGCTGGCATGTATACACTCCCACGGCACCTGCACAGAGGGCTGCTCCCGTGCCCAGGTCCATCCGTGCCACTGTTCTCATGCATCTTCCCACCTGGTTGTATCTTTGCTGGCATCTCTGTCCGGGCATCACCTTCCCACACAGCCCTGGCAGGGTAAAGGGGGGGGGGGAATTGAAGGAGAGGCAGGGAGGAGAGCTCTGGGGCACGCAGTGTTGTCCTGTGTGGGCTGGCACTTTCATTGCACAGTGTGCTCAGAGTAGAGAGTGAAGTTCCACCACGCTCTGAGCCCCTAAACCACTCCCTGGGCATCCTTGGGATGTTTGAGCAGCTCTGGGGGATGCCCCCATCGTACCCTTGTTCCTTTCCAGCCCTGGGCTGGTGGCACTGCCCTCTGGACTCACAGTGCTGGTGGAGCACAGAGGGCACCACAGACAACAGCTGGCACCAGGCTGGGCACAGCGCTGTGCCCCCGTGCCGGGGCGTAGCAGGGCTCTGTGGTTTCAGAGACCTCTGATGCCAACTGCAGCGCTGCGGTTGGGTGTTTTTCTCCCTTGTGCTCTGTTTCCTGTTACCTTTGTCACCCCTTCTTTCTGTGTCTCTTCTCCTCCCACGTTTCCAGCCGATACCAGGCGCTGCACACCCGAGGCCACCCCGACCTGAGCACTGCTGGCAGCACTCCCTGCCCAGTGCTGTCCCTGTCCCCAGTACAGGTGGCCTCGGGGTTCCTATCACAGAGAGCAGTGCTATGGCCCAGCTTTCCCCGCTGCTGCTGAGAGCAAATACTGTCGGGGTTTCAGAGCAGGAGGAATGCTGCACGGGCATCCCCTGTCCTCAGCCACTGAACACTGGCCCTGGGAGGTGGCACTTGCCTGGCAGAGATGCCACACAAGGTTTCGCCCAGAAGTTTTTTGAATAATGGCAGTTTATGACAGGACAAGGGAAGCTTTTGTGGTGCCCAGGCAGCTGCTCTGGAGCAAAGCCTGCAACGCCGTCACCCTTAGCAACACAACTCGGAGGTGGGCAGGCGAGGCATTCACTGTGCTGCCCTTGGCCCTGGCAGCAGCGTGGGGTTGGGATGGTAGGAGATATGGCAAGAGAGGAAGGGGAGCAGGGGTACAGAAGGGGAGCAGTGCAGCTGAGGGTCACAAGCCTGGCCCCAGAGCTGCCTCTGCACTTCTGCGAACATGAGCAACAGAGGGGGCACCCCCAAAGGCTTGTCCCCAGCGTGGTCCCCCAGGCAAGCCTTGCTGCAGGGGGTGGGCACAGCGGGTCCGTGACACTGCCGGGAGGGAGGAGGATCGAGGGTAGCTGCCGTGTGACAAAAGCAACCACCAGGAGGAGATGAGTCCACGTAAATCTGCCAATAACGGGTCCCCGGGCTACACCAACGAAGAGCACAGTCCTGGGCACTCCTCGGGGTGACGATGTGCGCCATGACTGCCACGGGCTCGGCAGGATCTGCGGCGCCACGGATCCACCGCCACTGCCGCCCAGAGCTGTGGGCGCCCATCCCTGGAGGTGTCCAAGGCCGTGGATGAGCCCCGGGCAGCCCGAGCTGGGGGGCAGACGGCCCACGGCAGGGGTGGCTCTGGGGGCTTTAAGGTCTCTCCAACCCGACCGCGCTGTAGCTGTGCTCCCTGACGGAGAGAGCAGCAGAGGCTGCTGGTGCCCCGCATGACTCCGGGGCAGACGAGGGTACCGTGCTGTGCATCCCGCAGCGCGGCCGCGAGGTGCGTCACGCACAGCTCTGCCCCGCGCCCCGCAGCCGCCGCAGCGGAATCCCGGCGGTGCCTTTAAGGGGCGTCAGCCGCAGGTCGGAGGCGGTGCTGCGCAGGGCCGGGCCGGGGACGGCGGGGACGGCCGCCTGCTGCCAGCCCCGCCGATCCGAGCCGAGCCGAGCCGAGCCGAGCCGAGCCGAGCCGAGCCGAGCCGAGCCGAGCCTGCTGCGGACAAAGGCGGCGGCCCGTGCCGGGTATGGCGGTGGGAGGTGGCTGAGCCGCGGCGCCGAGCGGAGCGGAGCGGGGCTCCCCCCGCGGCGGGGCCGGCGCGGCCATGGGGTTCCTGCACCAGCTCCATCTCCTGCTCTGGAAGAATGTGACGCTGAAGCGGCGCAGCCCGGTGAGCGCCAGCGGAACGCCGGGGGCCGTGCGGCGCGGCGGGGCCCGCTGCGGGAGCGGCGCGGGGTAAACCGCGGCCCCCGGCCCGCAGGGTATCCCCGCGGATCGGGGCCGGCTCGGGGCCGCGGCGCTGTGCGGGCCGAGCCGCGGGATGAGCGCGGCCCATCGCCGGCGGACGATCTCCTCCCGGTGCCGCGGGGCGCTCCGCATCGCCGTGCGCCGGGCGGGGCCGTCCTGGGTTCGCCGCTCCCTTTGACGCCTCGGGTACCTTCTCCATTTCTTGGCCGGGCTCAGGGGATGAATAATTCATGGAGCGCTGGATGCGGAGATGTGGCGACGTCTGCTCGCCTCGGGGGCCGGACAAAAAGGAGCGCGGATGCCATCCGCGTACAAACGGTGCGGCCGAGGCTCGCCCCTCGCGCCCCGCAGCGCGGACACGCGGCTCAGCAGCAACAGTTGGCTCTCGGCCTCCCCTGGGTCCCACCAGCCTCTGCCCCCCTTCGGCCCGCTTGCTGCCCGCGGGCTGTGCCTCCAGGCCGCGTCTCGGGGCTGAGCGCCTTCCCCAGCGCTCGCTATAAATAGGATTCCAAACCGTACGTGGGTCGGGGCTGCGGCTTCCCCGCGTGCCGGGCTCCTCGCGCCGCAGGCGGAGGGACGCGGGGCTCTGCGCATCCCCTCGGGCCCTCCTCGGCTCCCCGGGAGGTGCCGGTTCCCCGCTATCCGCCCCCGGGGGGCACCGGCACCGCGCTGCTAGACGTCCGTCTGT